TTATTTTCATTGCTCCATCATCGTAACAATCTGATAATCGCACCCCATTGATAGGCGGCCATTGAATTCGCCACATGGGAGGAAAGTGAAATTCTCGATTGAATACGTTTCGTGATCCCGCCAGCGCCGATTTGTCTTCCGCTTTTTCAGCATCTTGACGTGATAATGGGCGGGTTCACGTTAAGATGCATCGCCCTCTAGAACAATGGTGGAACTGCACTCCATCGTCGCGTTAATATTGCCATTGTCCGCGGACTGGTAGACGATGCACATCGGTGCAACGGCTCTCGACGGGCTTTGACGCGCGTGAATAGGCCTCCCAGCCACCGGAAGCTCTTTGTCGCGTCAATTATTCCGCTTCGGCATCGAGCCACCGATATATCGCTTTCCTTCCATTTTCTCGGCGAATCTTGACAGCGATACCGTACATGTAAATCGCCGATGATCGACGGTCAGCCTAGCCAATGAGAGTTGATTCGAAGCTCGTAATCGTAGCTGCCTAAAAGGGATTCTGTAGAACGTGAGATTGTTTGCTTCACTTGTTACATAATCTTTATGAACTGTTCCCTCAGTGGGTTATCCTAATTCTGTCGTAAATTAAACGAAAATTGATTTTTATTTTAATCATTAACTGGTGAGATGGAGATATTATTGTACAACTAATTGTTTTGCATTCTTATGTAACGAAACTTTCAAATAAACAAGTATCTCTTTAAAAAACAAAACATTAAACTTTAAAAATAGAATATTTTAAAAACGTGCATGACGTTCTTCTTAATCCACCTCACCAGTTAAGGTGGCTTCCGCGTTAAGTATCATATCTAGCTGGAGCCCCGTATGGCTCTTTATACTTTTTATCAATTTTACCAATTTAATTTGAATGGCTAATATTTTAAACTATTTCACAATCCTGAAATGGAAAAATGTTTACAAATATAGAAAGAACGAACATTTTTTTCTTATGGTCTCCCGGAAGATACCACCAAACGCATTGAAACTTAAGTTTAGATAATTTGATTCTAATTTTTAGTTTTATTTGATCGTGAACATATCTTTTTTTCATGCCATTATAATCACCGCAAAAAAATCTATAACCACCTAATTTTCAATAAAAATATCATTTTTAGTGGTTAAATAAGAAATGATTAATCTTTCATTATTAACTACAGCTCCATAAGGCTCGTGTTAAAAAGAAATTTTTGTAACGTTTCTTTTTCAATGATTTTATCATTGACCTTGTGATTTTTTGGTAGCAATCGAAAGTGAAGCTTTTAAGAATGTTCTGTTAAATTTCCAACTAAATATACGATTATTAAAAATTTGCGGAAACCACCTTAAGGGTTAAGGAACGTTGATGTAAAAAGAGTATTCGGCATTCTTGTAGATTAGAAGCTTGTTCGATACACTGTAGGTCAAAGGTAAGAGACCATAATTAAGATCTTGCATGAAGTCGAAACTGAACGGAAATAGTTCCTGTACTTAGGTATTGATTTCACAAACTTTGTTAAATCGTTACAGAGTTATGTGTGACTCTTCTATTAATTAGGAATCTTGATCTCGTACTTCTGACCAGTACATAGTGTATTCATACATAAAGATGAATCTATACTTTTGAATCATTTAAAATGGCATCACACTGAAGGTATTGGCCATTAAACTGTTACAGGGTACTTTTCAGATATTCTGTATAATTGAATATTATATTTTGACTTTATAATCAGTCGTTTAATTACTACCTAAAACCTAAACTTTTAGCCTCTCATAAAAAATCGGATTGTTTGGGAAGTATTGCAAAACTTTTGGAACAAGTGTCTCTAGTTTTCATTCAATATATTAGTTCAATGTATACTTTGTCGAGTACACTTGAACACAAGTATTGGTTTACAATGTTAGCAGTAGTATCGCCGGAATCAAGGACCAACGATGCAGTTGTTTCAAACTTCAGATATCCGTGCAGTTCGATTAATGTCGGTTGGAAATGGATATCGCATAGTCGATCGATCGAGCGTTGTTCGAGTAATTTTGACCCACAATCGTCGATGATACATGCCAAGCACTGCCTTCCCCTTGAATTCCGTGCCAAGAGTCCGCCCGCTCAGCCATCTTCGATGGCATTGAGTCTCGAGAAAAGTCTCGACGGTCGAATATCGAACTAGAATTGTTTCGAACCGTTGCGTGAAACATTACACTACTATTCCTTGGTCTTACTTTTAGAACTGTTCATTAATGACTGTGAATGGTGCCTTTCTTTACTGGATGTAGCACGTGGGTGTCGATGCAATGATCGACAGATATCCTCTATTTGGGTAACGTTACTTCATACCTGAGCTGTGCCTTTCTTCGTCGACGATTCTGTGCCACATACATCGTTACTTTATTTACTTAGCAAAATTTATTGCAACAATTAAAATTTGCTAGCTGACAAACTACTGCAAACTCTATGTATAAGAACAATATACATACTTGATTGTTCAGGAAAAAATCCTTTGCAACGTTTGGATGTTAGGTATAAAAAGTGGTTTTATTTAACCTATAGACATGCATACCTGACCTGTTCTCTATTCGTCGACGATTCACCTATATCATTAGGTTATTTACTTGACAAAATTTATTGAAAGAACCAACATTTCCTGACTGAAAAATTACTGGAAACTATGTACAGAAAGATTATACTTGATTAAGAAATCCTCTACACGATTTCGATCTTAGGTATAAGAAACTGACTTTGGCCTATAGAGTTTTTCGTTCCATTTTATTCTAATTTCTCGAATGTATCTCAAGTTATTAGTTCTTCCATTTATCTATTTAACCGAACTAATTTACATTTCTCAAGAAACGCCACCATCCCCAATTGCATTCTAATTGAAACACAATTGGCTTAGGAGCTATTCACCCTAACGACTGTCATAAAATTCGTTACCAGTTAATACTAAAGACAAGCATCTTTCTTCCCCCAAATTAGCAACCGCAAATTATATCTTTAAGGGTCCATCGCAACGAGGAACTGCAGTAGTCAAGCTAAATCCACCCCAGTGCGCATCGTGCCAAGAATTCCGCCTGGAAGATCCTCGAAAAGTGTCCCCGAGGGATGCTTAAGGCCGATAATCGTCGTTCCCGACGAAACTGCCCTACCTCACGTTATCATCCGTTATTCCCCACTAGGGGGTTCCCCAAAATTGCCGTTTGACAACGCCCCACTGCGTGGCCCTTTCTTCCCTTCGAGCCACCATCCTTCACTCGAAAGATACGCGGGCTACAATGGCGGATGTCGATCTGTTTCTCGCCCTGGGGGTGCATTCGGTGTTTATCCAAATTCATCTGCAGGCGACAGGGTGTCAGGAGAGGCTTCTTTCATCGGGCAGAAGGTGGGGGGTTCATTGAATCGTGGCCTGGAATCGTTTCTTGAGGGGTGTTCACGTAGTTCGTTTATCTGGTCGACGGTAAACGATTTTTTAAATGGAATGCCTTGTTTTTTTATCGCGATGTCATAGCCGGTGTTGATACGACTTCAGCGAGCTATCATTGAAGGCCATACAAGGTCAAATGTGGTAGTAGAATAAACTTTCTTACATTACCAGAGATGCTCGAAGTGGTGACCGTTCGCGTCAATGCAAAGTTGCGATCTTCGTATCGCTGAATTAAAATCGTTAAATATTCTGAACAAGTTCAGAAACGATAAGACATGCACGAAGATTGCAACTTTGCATTGACGCAAACGGTCACCATTACGAGCATCTCCTGGAATGTAAGAAAGTTTATTTTGCTACAACATTTGACCTTGCATGACCTTAAATGATAGCTCGCTGAAGTCGTCTCAACACCGGCTATGACATCGTAATAAAAAAAACAGCATTCCGTTAAAAAAATAGAGATGACCTTGAAATCTCTTCTATGCCTTCACTCACGCAGAAAATGTTTGTGTGACAATATGCCCCCCTCTGTACCGTGTAAGTTTTGTATATATCATTTCTTCATATTATTACAAATAACGGCAATATTCAAAGTGGACATAGTTATTGGCTCACCCTGTATAGTTAGCGAGACGAAACGGTCTTTTCGCGAAAGATGAGAGCCATTAAATACCTGTGGGGCCACGATGTCAGGTATTGATTTTATGGTGTCATCAACGTGGCCGTCCGACAATGAGTTAAGAAGAATGGAGCCATGGAGAGCTCGGCATCCGCGCTCGATACGGTTTTCAGCAAATATTCACTCGACATCACCGCGCGAATATTTCTCCGCGAAGTATACAATAACCTCGGAGAATAAGGTCTAGTTCCAGGAAAATGGAAGTCATCCTTCATAGCGTTACCATCGTATTTTATGCACTCCTCTTTCCCCGTTGCGTATTCCCGCGGGATTTAACCCCGGCAATGGCGGAGAAATTCAATAAAGCGTTGTAACAAAAATATCGTTTAGTATGTCGAATGATTTTTCTCCACCGAGGTAATTATTTTGAGGTATGTCGTCGATATACGGCAACACTATCCAAACGAACAAAATATTTAGCCCAATTTCTATTAAAAATTGTACTCGAAACAATTATTTTAACAATATTTCATTTCAAATCTAGATTCTTGTGTTTATCTACGTTTATAAATGTTTAAATATTGTTTCAATATTTATTTGTGAAATTGATTTCTAGACGCTGCCTCGCATGAAACTATAACGATTTTGTTCCCGCTACGATTAGCATCCCCCTGTGGTAATCGATCCGCAGCGAGGGTGGTAAATGCGGCTTCACGGGGGTGGTTTCACCCCTCGTCGGTAACGTAGGAAGCTGATTTTCCTGGAAAACCAGGGAAACGCGAGAATCGTATCTCACGTCGATAACTCGCCTGCAATTAATTCCAGCTTATTTCGTTTTACCAACGATCGTTCACCAACAAACTGGTCATATATTAATTTTGTCAGCTAGTGAAACCGTTCGCTGATAATCTTTTTCATGAAACGTTCTCCATGATAATGTTATTCATGATTCTGTGATTTTTCTGTTACAGCAAAGAAACAAAATGGGGCGGCCCTGCGAACGAACAGTTTGGGCTCGGGGGCGAGGACACCACCCCTCGAAAGGAAAAGCAAGTTCTCGGCCCTCGGTAGACTCTTCAAACCTTGGAAGTGGAAACGGAAAAAGAAATCGGACAAGTTCGAGGCCGCCTCCTTGTGTGAGTATATTTCAGATAAATTGAATGTGTGCAGTGAACGGAAATTAAAAAAATAAATAAATTGAAGTTGGTGGAAGTTTTTTTTAAAAGGGATGTTGTGTTTTTTTATCGTGACTGCAGCGCTCGAGAGGAAAATCTCGGTACGAGCTAGCAGGGACGAGCTGGTACAGAAAGGAATCCTGCTGCCAGTGATAAGGTCCACGTCGTTTCCGGAGAACGGTGAGTTTCATTTCGTTTAAACAGATGGTACCACCCGTTGTGATCCCTGGGCAATAAAAATCTGTAAAGTTGAATCATAGGTATACTTCGAGTTTCATGGGTTTAGCGAAGTACTGTAAAACAATAAAGTCCATAAAATACTAAACGAGTGTTGAATGTAATTTCAACACAGTGAAAGCTTTAGTGGACTAGCGATAGAGTAACGACACCGAATATGAGACCCCATTTATGTTTGATTAAATATCGGGCAATAGAAATGGAAAAAATTAAAAATGTTTGTGGTATTATATTCGTTATCCATTTCTACATCCTCAGGAACAATATTGTTATCTATCTATGGTTTCATGACCTACTATTATTTAGTATGAAAACAGTGAAAATATTAAGGAGTGTACAAAATTAGTGCTTTTAAGAGACTGCTCCTAATATTAGACCCTGTGTAAAATTAAAATTAAAAATCAAAATTATCATTTCAAATTAAAATCCTTTATTTGTATGCATTTTAAGACAATTTGGACATATAAAGGGAGCATCAGTAGCCCCGCAATATTCATGGACCCATCTGTAGCACTTGGTGCATTGAATCAACTGTTTGCTATTTAGTATGGTCCTTAGAATACAGGCACGAATAAAATAAACATTCTGTCATCCAATTCTGATTCACAACTATCTTACCAGTTTCGTCCTTTTCTGAATCTTCATATGGACATAAAAAGTATCTCAGGAACGGCATAGGGTCCCATATTAGGAACATCGTAGTTTCGAAAAAAAAAAAAAAAAAGGTAAATTAATTTGAGAACAGTTTACTTTTTTTTTTAGGATCAGTTGACCATACTAAGACTTGAAGTTAACAAGAAAACTGATGAAGTAACTTATCCTTAATGTTATACAAAGCTATTTTGCAAATTATTATGGAAACTCGCGACGAGAAGAAACAAACTTATTGAATCAAACTTATCGTCTTACTGAAACAATTGTTTTCGCGTGAATGGCAATCTCATGCCGACGACGTTGTCATTTGTTTTAATACTTCCAAACATTGCTGCAGTATTGCAGCATTGCCTTATGGAAATCCTGTGGTGTTTTGTATTAGGTATATGTCTCAAAATCGGTGCCGTTACTCTGTTTTTTAATAATTAATTATGGTGATTCTTATTTAATTTTCTGAATAATTCTGATTCTAGTTAATTACCTGTGACTTGACTTCATAGACCGATATTAGCGTAGTTTAATTGTTTGTTGTAACAGCTTTTCGTTTAACTTTTATTGCATCTTCAATCTGCATCCGTCATTATACTTTGGTAACAGTGAGATTAACAGTCTGGTGTTAATTTACAAAGGTAAAACGCATTCGCTAAGGTAAAGCTTTTCCAGCTTCTTTTATTTATAACTTAACATACTGCAGTAGGATTCTGAAACAGTTCTATTTATGGACACAGTCGTGTTGGTTCAATTTGAAAAGATTATTCATATGTATTGTGTTAGCGATTTAGATGGTGTCGTTTAAAAATTTGGGATCATTTACTCAAAAAGCATTGAATTTTTTATTGTTTTGTAAAACAATTGCTAATGGATAATTTGAGAGTACGATATGTAATTTGGCAATACGATTGTATAATATCAAAGGCACAAAATGTTAGACCTCATTACTTGTCATTTTGGTTTTTTATATAAACCATGAATAATAAAAATGATCCCAAAGCTGTTAATGGTGATGTGTACTTCTAAATGTTTATCTATTACATGCACTCATACAAAATCTTCCACTCTGAATGTAATCCTCACAAATGCTCATAATTAATAGACTGCGGATTTTCTGTACACCTAAGTTAAAAATGGTTGAGCTAAAAATGGTCGACATTAACCTATTCGCTTACTAACACGTGTTTTCTTAATAGAAATTCTTTTATGTGCAACTATCCCCCATAAATTCTAACACTGTCATTAGAACATTTGGTTTTTCAAATTTTGTCCAGTGATTGCCGTACTGTGCGTCAGTGGAAAATGAAAATCATAAGAAAGATTGCTGAATTCTCTATTTTGTACTGCATTTACTAAGACACAAAACAGAAGAAACCAATTTCTGTGTAATCTTTGTTTTTCTAATTTATGTAAATTGTAGTATACCAACTATCCACCGTCTGCTAATTAATATTCTTTTAATCAAGTATAATGAACGCTTAACTCGTACACAATTATTTTCCAAACTAAAATTACAAGACCCTTTTCAATATATTTAACAGTTACACCGAGAATGTTCATGCAAATTCAAATTACTATACATGAATTTTTGAAAATGAGAAATAAACTGAAATAGGCTTTCTTTGTCAGCAGTGCCATTCGCTTAAAAATAGATAAGTAATTTTGTTAAATATTTATAGCCTGTATTTTATCACGTTTCGTAGACGTGAGTACGCTATAAACGCATGAATATCCACAGTCTACTAATACTAATCGTCAACTTATTACTAACGCTGTTTAAATTAACCTTTTGCACTTCACTGGCGCCGTTACGACGACATCGTAGATCGCATTACAACCCAACATGCGCAACATAATCTAACATAAAATGTAAAACATAAAATTCTCTAATACTAATAATAATAATACTGTCTTTATTCAAAATTCATAGGCAAAAACAAATGATATGTTCATGAATGAGGTAAACAGAAAAACACAAAATAATGGAAAAATATGTAGGAACATATGAATGTATAAAAGATAATGGACAGCTGTGTAGACTTCAAATTTAAACTTAACAATAACAATAATAGTAAAGGTACTCAGGTAGCAGTGAAAAGCAGAAAATAAAGGTAACATAATACTAATAAATATAAACAAAAAAGTAAAATGCACGAAGTACAATAATAACACGATATAGAAGAGGTTAATACATAACATACATAAAAGTTTATATTTTTTATTTTCGAAATAAAATTTTGGTTTTCAAATATTTCACTGCGGAAGTGTTCTGCTAGTCGATTGTATAAAAAAATGCTCGGAGTGCAAAGGGTTAATTCACCTTTATTTTCGACAGACGCAATATCCGTCAGGGTTCTTTTTTTTTATTCGTTTTCGGGGATTTAGTACAGACTGTTTCTCCACTCTGTGTATTTCCGTATCGGGGGGTGAGTTTCGCACGCGTGGAAATTGTCCATCCACCTGGCTGATCAGGAAATAGGAGACCACGGTCTCCTGGATTGAAACGAGGCGCGAAGGGTAAGGGCCAAGCGACGCCGAAGAATGTAATTAGATTTCGTAGTTGTTAGCTTCCAGACACGAGCTCAATTTCCGGAATCGCGGAACAGTGGGAATTGCGATCCGTCTCAATGCACTTATAATCGGAAGGTATAAACAGAAAAGCGTCGAAGGTTTCATTGTTTTCCTTTCTCGCCAAAAATGTATCGCGATAAACAGTGCAACCATAATTATATTTCGAAGTGGGATTAACATTTTCTGTGAACAATTATTTTATCATGGAACGATAACGCTATGGTCGATCTTACTGACGAAAGTGACAAGGAAAAGGAGCTTAAGTTCTGCATGGAGAGGATGAAATGTTCGTTTCAAATTGGTGAAACTGTCTACCTTCTTTAGAAACTACCTTTGGTGAAGCTTTCTACCTTCTTTTTCAAATCTAGATAATTTTAGACTTATCTTAGATTTGCATAATTTCTATTAAACGTTTGATTTTACTTGCTGATGTACCGTTCAATATGAAAAATATTGAAAATTTTCCTCTTAAAATGTAATCTTAGAATCTTCCACCTAAAATTACTTTCGTCTTTTGAATAAATATAAATGTTACAAGAAAAAATTAGAAAATTGTAGTCCATAGTTCACTTGCATCAGAGTAATGGTCTGTTCCTCAAATTTTACAAATTAGAAATTACTTATAAGGTGTGCAAAAATTATTCGTGGCCTCCACAATTAGTTATTGACTCAAAACCGCCGTTATTTTTCGGCAAAGAATTCACCACCTGCTCGACAAATGGCGTAAATGTGCAGAAAGTGATGGGGAATATTTCCAAGACTAGACTGTATTTTGTTTTTTTATAAATATACAACAAATCTATGGAAAGAAGGCCACGAATTAATTTGTACACTTAATAATCATTTTTCAAATGCTCTTGTATTTATTTAATTATTCTGATTGGTGTATTCATTAACGTCTTTCCTGTATAAAAACTCCGCCCAAAGCTCACAGATTAACACTAATGGTGACGGTAAAACACTAACTCCTATTTCGAGGTTCTTTCTCGTCCGCGCCAGGACATTCCTGCCTGAAACGTAATTACGGAAGTGGGTCCAAAATATTCTACTCTCGTGCAACTCTGCTTGGTTTTGTTGATTAATAGATTACCGCCACTTCGCGTGACAATGCTCGTTGAATGGATCTTTTGTCAACGAACTTCAGAGTATCGAGTTTCGAAACTCTTCAGCAACTACTACCATTATTCATACTTCCGTTTTTGGGCGGGACCGAACGCTTAACTTCGAAACGTACCGCTTACCAAGCTGAAAAGCTCTACTTCCCTGATTAATTATCGCTTATAAATACATAGAGTTGCACTTTGGGAGGGGCGAGGCGATGTCGAAACGACGAGACACTCTGTAGATAATTATACACTGTTACATATTTTGAATTAAACAGATACTAATTTAATCTTAGCAAATTTTTATCGCTTTATCCACGGGTAACGTACGGTCCCTTATTTGTATTCTTGATGGTCAAGTTGTGCAAATATATTTTTAGTAATGAAAGTTACATTAATATCATCAAATCCATTGTTATAGTTTAGAATCGAACAAACTATGAGTAAAGTTCCCCCGGATAAAGCGTTAAAGCATCTTGAAAGGTATGAATTTTCAGGCTGCATGGAACGCATTTACACTTGAGCAGTTGATAAGATTCTACTCGATAACATTCTTTCTGCAATGGTATTGTCTTCCTGTAGTCACCTTACTCCAGAGTTGGGCACAATTTTATTCGAACAGTACATAGTGCAGAGCAACACTATTTAAGATCGTCATGAACAAATTGTAAATTATCTCGAGGAAAATAAAAAAAAAACTGCTCTTCATTATGTGTTTACTCATTCAAGAAGTAATATTATTTTATTATAAAAATTGCAATTTCCACGTTTAATCGATTAAAAAAGGCGAAATATTTTTCGTTATCTTTTATTCGTTATTCGAAATATTTGCCCATCTCTGCTTTACTCAGGGCTAGCGCTTATACAGAACGGTGCTTACGATACTGCGATCGTATTATTGGTTCGCTTCTGTCTTCTTCTTTCTGACTGGTTCATTATTACGTAGAGTGCAGAATGTATGTATTTAAAGTAGATACAGTTGAGTAAAATATAATACAATATTAACACATTCTTGATGGGAGATAACAATTCACGTCCTCTACACTTCGTGCGTTATCGTATTATTTATTTAGTAAGGGATAGTTGGGGGATAGTGAAGGGATAGTTAAACATGGAGCATTAGTCTGTTGTGTGTGAATGTGTGTGTGTGGGGGATTGAGGCTATATGTACATATACATTTAACAGCGTATCGTCAACAATGTGTTAATATAACATGTTTTTAACTA